AATAAATTCTGATTGGAAATTGCCCGATTGGGTTTCTATTTGTCACATTCACCAAGTGTTATCTTGGAGGAAAATAGGAAGCAAGTTAATTAAAAAAACAAGTGAATGGGATATAGAAGCTATCAAAAACTTAGCAGCATGGAGAGAGGTTATGACTGCCTTGAACTTACATTACAAAGAAGCAAAAACAGTCAGGACAGCGGACCTTTTTGCCCCCAGCCCCCCAATGACCGCGTGGCCCGAAACCAATAGACCAGGAACGGTGCACCTTAGCGGAGAGAGATGGGGGGGAGGGGGAGCCCTGGGCGGGGACAGTGCAGCGGCAGCGTGTAGTCTGGAAGCACATGGCGCTGGGTTCACCCTGGAACCATGTGCTCCTTTCTACCCCCTCCCCCCAGCCGCCGCCATTGGCGCGTGTCCGGGGTCGGGCACGGCGCTCGCCACGGGCGGTGCACCCCCCACGTGCGCGGCCGTGTGGCCTCCCGCCGCGCCGTGCATGGTCCCTACAGCGGGGGTTCCGTTGCCGACCGGGGCTGCCATGGGATCCTGTGCCTCTCGGCACGGGGCTGCCGGAGTGGCGGTCCCGTGGCCGGCGGCCGGATCCGTGGCAGAGCCGCTCACGGCCGCGCCCACCCCCCCCGGGCTGGGGGGGGAACGGCGCGGGGTCGGCGACTGGGGCTTTGCCTGGGGTGCCCGCCGCCCAAGCGGCAGCGTGGCCGGTGGGTAGTTTCGTTGAGAGACCACCCGCGGCCGCTCCGCCCGCCCCGGTTGTAGCGGCCCCTGCACCGCAGGCACCGGGAGCCGCCGGTTTTGCAGCGGTGCCGGGACAGCCTGGGGCCGGGGCGGCGGCGGCGTGGGGAGTTGCCAGCTTCATGCCGGCGGCCGCAGCTGCAGCCGCTGCCTAGCAGCTTACGGCTGCGCCCCCCGCACCATACGCCGGGCCAGGCGGAACGGTGGCCGAGGGGGCTGGGGCGGTGGCCGGGTCAGGCGGCATGGCAGCGGCTGCGCCGCGGCAGAGCGGAACGCTGGCGGGGGTACAGACCACCAGCGCCGGCGCTGTGGGGGCTGCACCCGGGGGGCAACAGGCGAGCTGCCATTACAGGGGTCAAGAGAATTTGCTAGCTCCCTTTAGCTATGCGGCGGCCGTGAGACCACCGCAGAGAGAGTGCGGGGACGCGGCCGGGCGGCTGGGGCTCGGGGCTAGGGCACCAGCAGCAGCGGGGGCTGCGACGGGAGAGCAACGGAAGGACTGCTGTTGCGGGGGTCAGGGCGGTCCACTAACACCCTTTGGCTGCGCAGCGGCCATGAGGCCGCTGCAGAACAACCATGCAGCAACATGGACACAGCAAGCTTACTCCGGCCGTGAGGCGGAAGTGAAAGTGCCTTTTCCATCACCACCAGTTCAAACAACTCACAATAAATGCACAACAGTTAAAGCATCACCGTGGCTCTCCTACCAAGAAACCAACCCACAGCCCTTGCCAGCCTCAGAACAGCTTCTACACCAAAGACGGCCTGATGGAGGAGGAAGAAGAGAAATTGACGCCCTAGAAAGCTTAGCCGAGCTGTGGCAAACTGAACTCAGCAAGACGACAGAACCAGAAAAAAGACAAGCAGTTTTGGATCCTGCAAAAGAGGAAGAACAGCAAATGTGGCTACAGCTACTACTTCAGCTCAAGGAAAAGGATGCAGACTGGGAAAGCACATAGAACATCTGCCGGCCCAAGCACAGACCATCATCAAAGTCAAAGCTACCGACTTTGAAGTGGGACAGTATGTGTGCTGACTGCATTGCTGGTGATGACAGCTGTTGGTTTTGTACTGCGAGAATTTCAGCTGGGACAACACAATCCACCTACTGACAGAACAAACAATCTAGAGGTAACATTGCAAAACACAACAGACATACAGCTATCAGCTACCATGTTTAATTTTCTAAGTCACAAAAGGACAACTTTACTAATTGACAGATTATTTGCTATTATAAAAAGTTCTTTTGTGTTACAGGGGGTAAGAATAATAATAATGAGGGGCCCCAAATCAAGTATTTACTTCTCACTATTTTAAAATGCTGTTAGACAATATACACAACATGTGCCATACACAACATGGAAAGTCAAACTTAAACTAGTAGCAAAGAAACAACCAGTTACAATTTCAACTGCAGAAACACAGAATTCTTTATACACAGTCACTGCAAGAGCCTTGAGAAAGCAAAACAAACAAAACTCTCATACAACACAAGCCCAAAAATGCTCCACAAAGTTGCAACATACATCAATACACACCTCTAAATCCACTCAAAACACAAACATGCATAAATTGGCCTATACCCAAATTAAACAATTAGAATGGGAGGCAAAGACAGGAATATCAAACATTTTTAACAGCAGAACAGATATAACCTCACAATGGCCCTTAAAAAACATCCAAACCTATTTAACAAGTTTTCTTAAACTAGCATCCCCAAAGCAAAACACAAACATTATAACCAGCAATAACCCAGACATTAACTGTTTCCATTGGACCCACTGAAATCACTCATTCTGTAGAACAGAGACTGCCTCTGTCAAAGAGGAAGTCAATTGACAGCAGATTTTTCCCAAAGGCAGTTTTATTGCAGCTGAACCCACAAGTGACCCAAGAAACAGGTAGCCCTAAATCAATAAAACAATGACCTTTCCTTAAAACAGAGGTAATGCATTTACATACACTACTAGAAAACCATATAAACACAGCCTCACTATGTACAAAAACTCTTTCACTAGTCTATCAATCTCTCAAACCTAAAGAAAGATGGATTTTCATGCTTTTTGCCCCTATCTCAGAGTTAGAAAAGAATGAAGTTTTTGAAAACCGAGATTTTACAACTTACTTTTTAGTTAAGGAAAAGGGTAAAAAATACTTCTTGCATGATTGCCTTTGCAAAAAAGGAAATAATGTGTTGCCCCTTAAACATAATAACAGTAGTTTACTGCTTAACAATTGGGTGGAATTAGATTTTGTCATTTTCTGCCGCTATTCCTGTTCCTATAGAAACTTTCCTACTAACTCCTTGGCTAAACGAATAAGTAACTTACCTTTGGGTGAGGAAGACGACAAGCAAACCCCTCACTCAGAATCTCCTTTTTTACATAATGTGGAAAAGGAAGGCAGGACATGGTGAACTAAAACTTTGCTAACTATTCACTCATACCACTGCATTTTGCATTGTCAAGAAGATATACGTTTTGCTTGTAACATTTGTAGTTTTTTGCCTTCAAATCAGTTTTCTTAAAAGTGGTGTAAATTGTTTTCTTGACAATGAAAATAAAGGGTAGAGGGTAGTTTAAAAACATTTGCACATGGAATGAAATTTAACATCTCACCATCTTAAAGCCCAGTATGTTCATTAATTCATATTTTTTAAATGTAGAGCTGGCTGATACAAAGCTTTTATTGGGTTTGGCAGTTTCATGTTCTTCTAGCTGTGATGGAGTGTGCAGGATGAACCTTTTATCAATCAGCAAACAAAGTTGCTACACATATTACAGAAACTGGAGCAATATGGACAATTTACTAGGGAGCTAGATTTAAACTAAATAAATTCACATACAGGCTGTTTCAGCATAAATTGCATGCTGATTACCAATCAGTTACTGAACTCAAGGTAAAGAAAAGGATTTGAAACCTTCTGCTTCATAGTATAAAAAGAGAGAAAAATTCTCCTTATTGCCTAAAAGCCTTCGTAATTATTTTTCACTATGTAAATTAGTGTCATTTTAACCAAGAACATTTATCTCCACAAAACCAGAACACTATAGCTTCAAAAATTTCCCCTATTTTTCATTCAATTCCCAATAGCTTTAAAAATAAAAATTATTAGAAGTTATTAAATTCTCAAATGCATCCACATACATGCAATTATCACAATAATGTTATTCAAATAATAAGTATAGAATCTTAAACATCCCCATATTTGTTACATTCAAACATTCTCAAAACATTTTGCTGTCACAAAACAACATACATAATGTCAACAAGAGTGCAAAATAGCTGCTTGAAAATCACAACTACCTAAGAGACTGAATTAAACCTGGTTATAGTTGCTCTAACTGATGTTATTAGAAATGGAGACTGTATAACGTTCCAGAAAAATTCAACAGGACCAACAATGAAATCTCCAAAGAAAACTACACAACGAAAGATTATCTTTAAAGCCTTCAGCCAAAAAGCAAAAGACACTAACATAGAGTGACTCACTGCTATTACTTCAAAAACTACAGATCCACCTGATCCTCGCATCTATTCCTGCCCACCTTTCATCTAAAATAGACTGAACTGTTATTAACATGTTTGCCAAGATTGTTTTTAAGAATAAAGAACAACTACAAGAAATGAACAAGTTTCTGAGACCACCTGCATCTGAACAAAGAAGGACAATTGAACAATAAGGTACAAACCTTGGACCAGGTTCTATACAAGTCTACAACTTACTCATGTACTTAGCACATTTAAGTTGTTTTGTAATTAAGCTAAGAATGTTATAATTGATTCATGCTATGCTACAGAGTTACTTTCACATCTCGAAGTCTCCTTCCTTCAAGATTTCACTAACCCTCATTTACCTAGAACAATACACACCACATAATTCCTTGTTAATCACACAGAATCTCTTACATAAAACACATCCATTCACACACACATTCCAAATAGAATAATACAACTACACACAAAAAATGCTTCAAAGGCAAAAAAGAAGGGGATCAGGAACACTTATAGGAACATCATATGTTCTAAATTTCTTAAACTGTGATGATGCAAACCATAGCAGGTATGAATACCAACATAAAACTAAAATGCTTTCACCTTCCAAAGCACCAATTGTGATTGAAGGTCTAGTATCTAGGCAATGATCAAGACCAGTAGATTTCATAAATGGAGGGGAGATATATGCCTGTGTATCAAAGAGTGCTAAATTGCGGGAGATTCCTTCTGGAGGTATCAGGCCTTATATTGGCCCTCCCCTTCAACAGAAGCAATCACCAGATAAAATGAGTAAAGAAATTAGATTTAAAGAAACACAACCAACAATAGTAAAAGGAACACACCACACATTAAGAAACATACTCTAAAAACACAAAAAAAGGGGGGGAAAGAGATATGGATCTAGTCCCTATATGTGTAAATCTACATTAACACTTCTTCAAAACAGGAACAATCACAAAGAAGCAATAAATGATACAACAGAACCAAAAGAAACACACAAACAGTAACCAATACAAAACCAAAACTCCATGATTCTAACACAATAAAGGGTTTAAGAATGCATGTGTGAGGAGAGAACGAAACGGTGGCCACTGGAGTATGAATGAAAAAGTTGAGTGGACATATGTATGTGTGCGTGAATGCAATATACTTTATAGCAAGACATTTTAAACATTACCTCAAAGAACACCACCTCAAACACAACATCTACAACCCAACACATTTCCCTTTCAAATAAAGATGATGCTATTACACAAAGTCACCCTCGGATAAAAGGTTATACACATTTTCAAACCCTGGATAATTTGAGGTTGCTTGAATATTGCATGAACCAATAAAGTTGTAAACAGTTCAATAAAGGCCTTGTGACGATAGGCCCTGGTTTTTATAAATAGTTGAAATAAGATTGGTTATGATAAGAATGTTATAAACTTGTTGTTTCACAACTTGTTAATTAAACAGAGAGAGGGGAGATGTGGCAGGAAGAATGTGACAAGGAATCATGGGAGTAGTAGTTTTCTGGGTTCTCATGCATGCTCAATCAATACTTGATTGTCATTGTGACATATGACAGTGTGACAAGGTAGCAATTCTGCTAATCCTTCTCCTCACTTCTCCAAGAATCCAAAACTCTATCATTTCATGGTCACTGTGCTCAAGACAGCCTCTGACCACCACAACACCCACCAGTCTCTCTGTTCACAAACAGTAGGTCCAGTGGGACACCTTCCCTAGTTGGCTCACTCACCAACTGTGTCAGTTCTCTTCCACACACTCCGGAAACCTCCTAGACTGTTTCCTCTCTGCTATGTTGTATTTCCAGAACACATCTGGCAAGTTGAAGTCCCCCATGAGAACAAGGGCCAGCAATCATGAGACTTCCCCCAGCTGCTTATAGAATATTTTTTCGCTGCCTCTTCATCCTGGTTGGGTGGTCTATAACAGACTCCCGCCACAATATCTGCCTCATTGGCCTTCCCTCAGATTCCTTCCCATGAACACTCAGTTGTCACGATCATCAAGCTCCAGACAATCAAGACATTCCCTAACACACAGGGCTACCCCT